CTCATAGAAATGTCGTGACTAGATCGTTAGATTCATCCAAAAATGGACAGTATGATATGTGCACTTATTTTTTTATTTTATCATACAGCAGCAAAACAACAGACGAAAGCTCCTAATTGAGAAGAGACTGATGAGGTAAACAGAAATAGAACTCAGAAAAAAGAAAAGTGTTTTCCTTGGAGAAATGAGAGAGAAGAGTAGCAGACACTAAACGATTTTGCATCGTCTTTAAAGAGGAGAGACAAGGTAGGAAAGGACAGGAGGAGGAATTGTATAAGAGACTGATGTGGACGGAGGTGAAAAATGGCTCTATTATAGGCCTAATAGAATTTCCCATGGCCCCAGAGGGAAACACAATGGACTCTCCCTCTTTCCCACTTTGCCTCTCCATCCTCCCGTCCCTCCATTTGCCGGGGCCTGAGATATAATTTCATCACTCTTCACTTAATTGTGCGCGTTGCCGGCAGAGCCCTACTCTCTGTTCCAGCAAACAGAGGCAGGTGGGTGAGGAGGAAGAGGAGCAGAATAATAGAACAGAGTGGGAAACCACATCACTTCATTTTTATAGACGGACAGCTTGTAAAAGCGATGGGTTACGCGGTCCCCTCTGAGTAGCCAAGAGTAAACACAGCACAACACTGAGAGGGATCAAGGAGAAATACCGTGTCATACCACACAGTATATTTACAGTGGAAATACATTAAGTGAGTGTGTGTTAGCTGACGTTCCCTATGACATCATATGACAAATAACTATTTACACAGTTTGGCCAGAGATTTCGGAGTTAGTAAATTGATATTTGAGACATTATGTACATATGTGTTTGGGATTGTATCGATGAATAAGTGCATTTCAGGTCAATACGAGGTGAATGAAGAGGCGGCATACTTTGTAGGGATCAGTGATATTCCAGTAAATTAAGATGTGGAGTGTGCGTGTTAACAGATTTTAAACAAAAAAGCAAAAATCCCACAAGTAGAAGCCAAGATATCTTGATTTTCAGTCCCTTGTACACCAAATTATGGGACCCTACTTTTCCCATAATACAGTTTCTCCAAAGCCAAGCCAAGATACGTGGGTGGCAATCTTTCCCAAGCTCCCCCAGAGGAACAGAGCACAATATACAACTGTTTTCAAAATTGGATTGTTTCAATTCGTGTCCTACATTGACTTTGACTTTTATCCTGGGGAGAATATTCAAGTGAAAGTTCCTACTTGCCTTGTTCTCCTGCACGAAGGAGACATCCATGAAAACCTAGCCGTGGTTTTTTCTGATTATGAAGGTTTATGGATGTTAGTGGACAATGAAAGATCAAACATAAACTTGTTTTTGAATTTTTCAGCATTGAGAAGATTGTATTTCAATCTCAAGTGTGCGCTCTCAAATTCATTGTTTACAAAACAGGATACAAATTGAAAACTGACCCTAAACTTCATGCTTGTTTTCTAACTCAAAAGCAAAGGAAACCTGCCCCACGTCTATTAGCTTATCAGATGTTGACCTTTGCCCTCAGCGAGCAGCCATGTCTTCTCTGCTGCCCCACCCTGCGACAACATTTTGTTACTTTCAAAGGCCGTGCCGCGAGTTTGATCTCCTGTTACGCTGCACCGAGACCAAAGAGAACACGTGTGCCCTTGTCTGGGATTATCTGCTACAGTCAGCCGTCCATCATGGCGAGCGCCTAGTGACATCCTCCGAGACGTGTTCTACAGCTGGTCGTAAAGATGAAGATGCTTCTGACCTCTGACCCCCTGTCACTGACTGCCTCCTGAAAGAACACTGTGCTAACTTGCATGGTATGAGGCATAAGAGACGCAGAGGTTAGAAGACTGGGGTCAAGTATTTAGGTCTCCTTGCAGTACTGAGACCAGTTACAGCCAAAAATATTGTTCTACAAAACCAATGGAAGCAGTCAACAAGATTCTTCTAGGCCACACACACAACCCAATGTAAATGTACTATTTGTAACTTTGGCCACTAAATGGTCACTCAATCAAAACTATGTCATGATGCAGTGTAGGATTAAGATTAAGTTTAAACCATAAGAGGAAATAAAGTTGTATTCATGTTACACAGCATAAAGTGATGTATATTCATGATCCATCACAAGTGCCCAATACAAACAGTGGAAGAAAACAACAGCCGACTGTCTAACTGGCGATTTGTGTGTTATAGCAGAGACAGACAAAGCGGACATGATGCAATTAAAAGGCGACGGTGAAACGTCCTGTTAACCTAGAATAACATTGGAGATTTCTCTGTCGGAAACATGTTGGGTAGTGTATGAACACAACTCAACAAAATAAATCAGGTCAAGTTGTTTTTAGACATTTTAACGAAGAATCGTTATAGTTTATTAAAACCAGCGCGTCATTTCCTTGTGTGATGTGAAGGACGAGTCCTCAGAGATCATTATGTGTTGTGTTATTATGAGAAACCTGTGGAAAGGTCTTGTCGCTGCCAAGGTTTCACAACCTCACAAGTCTGGTCGGTCCACAGGGAGTTCTGTTTCCACGTTCTCTCTTCATCCCAGTGGTGATTTGTAGAGTAAATAATCGTGTCATTCTCAGACCACACTGTGACTGAGTCATAAAATTAACCATAACATGTTGTAAATCACAGTTAGTATCTGATACAACATGAAAATCCTCACTGGATTTTTCTTTTGCTGTAATTGAAATGTATATTTGTCATCGTGTTTCAGAGGGTTTTTGATGTTTTACATCTTTTATATTAATATACTGGGAAAGTGTGAAGAGACACTTTCGTTATTATCCCAATTATTGATTTAGCAGTTTTCTTATTCTTTCTAGTCTCAACAGCATTGAATCTTTTCACACCCATTATTTTATTTTACATTGACCCAAATTTAAACAGTCATCTCATTGTAGAGTCGGCAACTGAAATGACTCAGTGAGGAACTTTCTTCAGTCTCTTCATCGTGTAGCCAAAACTCATCTGGTCATCCAAACTCAACGTGGACTATCCTCTTTCACCACCATGTCACTCCTGCACACATGGTTCCCTTCACACATCAGCATTCCTCACTAACGACTCACTGGAGGTTGGCAACGGTTAGCTGGGGAATGTGTTTTACATTTGGACCAGAGTTCACTTAGAAACTGATCCTGGGCACAGGGACTGGGTCAGAACCCACCGATGCCATTTCTGATCTGAGTAAACAGAAGCAGGTCAGGCTGGAGGAAGCAGGAAGGTGAAAGACTGCTGCTTAATTACGTCAGTTGTAATTGAACAGGGAGCAGAGTGGAGCAGGTTTCTTTTTCTCGTTACAAAGTTTTGAACAAATATATTGTTTACATGCAGGGTGGCACGGTGGTCCAGTGGTTAGCACTGTTCAGTTGAGCGCTTGTGTGTTCTCCCAGTTTTCTCCAGGTAACTCAGCTTCCTCCCACAGTCCGACGACATGAAGATTGAGGTTAGAGCAATTGGAAACTCTAAATTCACTGTAGGTGTGAATGTAAGTGTGAATGCTTAATGTCTCTGTGTGTTGGTCCTGTGACGATAGCGATATGCTGACGTCCTGTCCGGAGGTATGATGGATGGATGACATGCATGTGTTGTATTCTACATATTCTACATTTCAATGTTCTGTATGGATATGGTGTCCTGGCTGTCAATCCCAGTTTCCATGCTTGCTGTGTTGATTAAGACTTGAAACTAGAGACTGAGACTGTGGACTTCTGAGGAAAATATTTACTGACAATCTTTGTGTCATAGGCTTCTATAGAAACTGACTTATTTATGCAACCAGTGGTGTCGCCCTCTGCTGGTCATTCAAGCGAATACAGATTTCAGGCACTTTCGCATTAGCCTCGCTAACCGGATTTCTATACTGTGGAATATAACGCTCAACTAAAGCTATTTTAGCCTGAACCCTAAAACCAAGACCTAACTTTGAAACACCCTGTTTTACCTCACAAAGACGCAAACACACAGAATATGCATTTATATATATTATACATATAACCTTGTTATCTCAACTTATCTGATTTTAAAATCTTAAGAGTCCCTTTTCTCCAGCCCTCATTCACCTTCTAACGAAAAATCATTCATTTACCTTCAACCATAATTTATACTGACCTATCACAATATTTTCACACTTGTAACACTATCACTGACTTCAGCCATAAAATATGAAACCCGTGGGAAACGACGTGTCTTTTCGCGCACCGTTACTTTACCACGTCACTCAACACACTCAGTCTAATTGTGCTGACAGGTCGTTGAAGTCTATTATGATAGTGTTTTGTCACCATTGCTGCGCTGACCACACGCATGTCTCCATATTTCATGCAGCTTGATGAAAGCAGTGACGCACAGGTCGTCCTCTTATAAAAGTCCCTCATTGGTCCTTGTGTTTTGACTGGTGAAGCCTCCAGTGATCAGTCTGTCTCATTTGGCTCAGACTGGATGACAGAAGGATTTTATCTTTGCTTGAGGGAAATACTGAAGAATCCATATGGAGCCATGGAGCGACGATATCAAAGAATAATGGAATAGATCATTATCAAA